TATTATTCAATGCATTTTGACTTAAGTTTAAGCTAAGGAGCTAGTCAGGCGTATGGATGCATCTCAACAACTTTGTACCTTACAAACACGTACTAGCTGTTCGAGCAGTCTTGGTTTTCCTGGTTGAAGATAGGAGAACAAGATAAAAGTATAAGTATGCTGCTGTAGAAATAAAATTCACTAAGAATTGTCACGCTGTGGACTTCTTACGATACTGAGATACACTTACATAATGTGTAACCTTGCTAGTTCGTGTCTCGGATTACAACTGTACAATTAATCACATCTTTAGAATTGGATTAGCAGAAACTTAGCTTGTAGTCCAGGATTGGAGTTGAAATTGTAATACTGCGCATGATTCCTTCGATCACACAGGTCAGGCGGTGTTGAAGCAAGTATGCAGTCGCTAGCATTCCTTCCGGATCTGGATGATATGCCTTCGTTTGAATCAATTACAACCAGTGCTGGTGGTTTATCGGCCGAAAGCATTGATGCTGCACGAATTTTGGACAGTGTTTTTGAGGTTTCAAAGAGGAATATCAACCAATCCGATAATTATCTGCAGGTTCGATTTCTTTCACCGTATTGCACTGCTGGCAGTCGTTACTTAACTGGGAAAGTTGTACTTAGCAGCAGCTATAATGATTCAAAGCTGCAAGAAAAACATTTGATGTGGCTAGAAAAAACTTATTTGAAGTTTCGTTGCATTTCGGAGGTTTTTTTTTGTCAGTGCACATGCAACTTGCAGGTGGCGCTCTGTCGCCGATATGTTATTGAGGTAGCTAAAAGTTGGATCGGTTCTGCGGGGTATAAGTCGATTTTGATGGTGTGACTTCTTGAATTATAGACTAAATTGAATTGGAACTTCACCTTCAGTTTGAATAGTGGGAAGAGGTGGAGGTGGGTGGAAAGGCCAGAATGTAGGTTTAAGTCACAGTTTCTGTGAAATGCTCTATGCCGAGCCATACTTCGTTATTTGATAGTGCCTGTCTGTCAGGGGCCCTGAATCTGCTAGCTTGCTTCTCAGCCAAGTCTCAGAAGAAGAGGAATTAATGGCCAATTAGCAGGAGAGGGTGATGAAGACTTCACCATTCTGGCTGCGGGATTGCCCTCATGACTGTAAAAAAAAACAAAATTTGGGGAATCCGATTTTTACTAAGAAATTTTAGATCCTTGTGGAAGTATTTTCGTCGGAATTACGGGACAGCACAAAATACGAGCATTTGAATTACTTCTACATCATTGTGCCACCTCTGACGATAAACTACGTGGATCAGATGTTGGCCTGCAAAGGGAAACTGGGAAGACGAGCCAATCAGAATAATACATTCACCGAGGATGGATTCATCTTAGGTTTCTCTTTTTTTAAGGGTTGGGG